TGGTCCCAGGGGAAACTTCGGTCGCTGAGAGCGATTTATATCCCAGGATACTTAAATCGGGGAGCGGACATCCTGTCGAGGCAGGGGCCGAGGCCCGGGGAGTGGAGACTTCACCCCGAGGTGGTGGAGCTCCTTTGGAGACACTTCGGTCGGGCCGAAGTGGACCTCTTTGCTTCCAGGGAGAACTCACACTGCCCGCTGTGGTTTTCCCTGAGTCCTCCAGCTCCATTGGGGCTGGATGCGTTGGTACAGGAGTGGCCGAGGGCACCCCTGTACGCATTTCCCCCGATTGCTCTGCTCCCAGGGGTTCTGGAAAGGATTCGCCAGGAGGGGGTCAGTGTACTTCTGGTGGCCCCCCGTTGGCCAACCAGGGTATGGTTTGCGGACCTGATTTCCCTTCTCGAGGGTCCTCCTCTGGAGATTCCGGTCAGGAGGGACCTTCTGTCTCAAGCAGACGGGGGGATACTCCACCCCCGTCCGGAACTGTGGAGGTTGTGGGCTTGGCCTCTGAGGGGGCCCAGCTCATAGATTCAGGTCTCTCGACTGAGGTCGTGGAGACCATCCTCCAGTCCAGAGCCCCATCCACGAGGAAGTTGTATGCCTTGAGGTGGAAACTGTTCACCTCTTGGTGTGGAGAGCGACAGTTGGATCCAGTTAACTGCCCGTTGCCGGCAGTGCTGGAATTCCTTCAGGAACGCTTCTCCACAGGGTTATCGTACTCCACACTAAAGGTGTACGTGGCGGCCCTATCCGCTTACCATGTCCCTTTGAGTGGAGCTTCTCTTGGGAGACATCCCCTGGTAACCCGTTTCCTTCGTGGTATCCTGAGGCTGAGGCCGGTAGTGCGTACGAGGGTACCGACCTGGGATCTAGCGGTTGTGTTGGAGGGGCTCTGTTTAGCCCCTTTCGAGCCCATTGATGAGGTGCCTGAGAAGTTTCTTACTCTCAAAACCATCTTTCTCCTAGCCATCTCTTCCCTAAAGAGGATTGGAGATATTCAGGCGCTGTCGGTTTCCCCCTCGTGCTTGGAATTTGCTCCCGGTATGGCGAAGGCTTTCATCCTCCCTAGACCGGGGTATGTTCCGAAGGTTCCAACTACGGTTGTCAAACCTATAGTGCTACAGGCCTTCTGTCCTCCTCCGTTTCGGACACCAGACCAGGAGAAACTAAATCTGCTCTGCCCGGTGAGGGCCTTAGACGCGTACGTCCACAGAGCTGCCCTGTGGAGGAAATCAGAACAATTATTTGTCTGCGTTGGGCCTCCTAAGAGAGGTTCTGCGGCGTCTAAGCAGAGAATGAGTAAGTGGGTGGTCGAGGCCATTTCACTTGCTTATGAGTCCTCCGGTCAGCCTTCTCCCTTGGCTGTCCGGGCTCATTCAACCCGGAGTATGGCTGCCTCTAAGGCATTATTATCAGGAGTTCCCTTGTGTGACATCTGTGAGGCGGCAGGATGGTCTTCACCACACACTTTTGTGAAGTTTTACCATCTGGACTTCAGCTCCACCCCAGGGGCGCAGATGCTTTCGTCAGAATGTGCACTCTGATTTTCATACAACGGACACCTGCTCGCATGGCGGCGTTGGTATTAGCGTTCCCACGGCGTTTACACGCAGCTCGAAGTTCCCTGAATGGGAACGTCTCTGGTTACGTATGTAACCCTAGTTCCCTGAAGGGAACGAGACGCTGCGTGTCTATGCCATACTCCCAGCATGCCCGTGAGCGCTTGTGTTTCGGGGATGCTTTATAGTTTCCTGGTAGATACGTCACCCCGTCTATGACGTTCCGTCTCGCCATTGGACAGATTTCATACGTGCTTCATGACTCGTCACGCAGAGGCGTTCCCACGGCGTTTACACGCAGCGTCTCGTTCCCTTCAGGGAACTAGGGTTACATACGTAACCAGAGACGTTTTTTTTAGAGTCTCTGTCGGTGTCTCCTTGTTCAAGCCCGCAGAAATAATCCAAAGTTGAATCCTTTCTGGATCTTCAAAAGGAAATTTGTGAAAACTTTTTTTACAATGTACATTTATTAGGTTTGTTCTTGCAATTGTAAAATGCACACCGAATCACTACGTTGCCTTTGTTTACCTCAACAATTATTACTAAGCTAGCTAGATGTCCCGACTGTCATGCCGTTCTGTTCTGTGTTTACTTTTTGACGCAGTAACATTACTACTAAACAGAGTGAAGAATATTCTGCCGCTGCTGAGAAACTAGTTCCTGTAAATGTAATGCAATGATTGAGATGAAAAGGATAGTTTGATTTCTAACATTATTCTCTCAACAGACACTTATATCGATAGTCTGGTGTTATAATTTTATTTGCTTTTGGTGTACTGTGGAGTGGAAGGGACATATCATGCAAAGCTACTTTTTTAGCCCTTAAATGCATTTTGTTGTATATTTGGGGTGTTTATAAGTACAGAAAAGATGAAATTATTCTCTTCAGGTGCTTCGTTTATATCTTTATATTCTGTTTTGGTCATATTTTTCAAACTGTTCAGATTTTTCTATGACGTTTTTTGAACTACAACGTCACCATATTTGCAGCGGAACAGCCAAATATGGACATTGACTACCGGTCCAAAACTTCGAGCAAATCCGCCATTATTATTTCTCGCTCCGATTTTGTAGTCCGAGCTCAATGATGCAGAAGTTACGAGAGGGCAAGTCAAAATGTTCGGTTTTTAGATGTAGTGACCTGAAGCACTTCAAGGATTCCCACTTTAACAACCTCCGCCAGTAACGTTATACAGAAGGGTTTGCCGATCGGCTTCGTCTGAATAAGAGGTAAATTCCTTCTATCATTGGAGAACAGAGCATTTCGATAAGCTGTAAATATCGTTAATAAAAATAAAGTACTTTACTTTCTTAAAACACATGGGTTTAGCAGTACCTTTGTCTTTCTTTGTTTTTGTTTTGAAGTAACATTACACGTCTGCAGTATTAGTGTTCTTGAGTTTCATCAATGGTCATTTAGCTGCTGTGTTTTCTGATGTGATCATATTATCAATACAGATTGTTTGTGGTAAGATTAGACCGTAGTCATTTATCTTGTCAGTGTGCTTGTTTTAACAAGAGAAATAGTCAACTTTCACTAATAACACAAAACAGTTAACGTTAACTCACATACCAATACATCCATATACTTCCGGGTGGCAGAACGCGAGTGGCTTCTATTGACTAACTGAAGAGATCCAGCCGGCAACTGAACAGTTACACAGTTAAAATCATTGTTGTTGATCAAAGTTGAATCTATGGCGAAAATATGTTGTGTTTGGGGTTGCACCACCAGATATACAGCAAAAGGTGTAGGTTTTTTTTATCGATTTCCTTCAGAAAAAAAGTAAATCTATCCAGCAGAACCTGTGGGTGAGGAGGTTAAAGCAAATGGACGTCGTCAAAAGTGCATGTCGTCTTCTAATTATGAGCCTGAGCCCGATTTAAACCCAACCATTTTAATACGTGGGTCGTTATATAACTGACGTTCTCAACTAACTTAGTTATTTCTATTACTTTCTATGTTACTTTCTTTTGAGCGGTGAGTAAATGCTTCTTCATCGTAAATGCTTCTGATTGGCCAATGTGTTCAATAAATCAACACATATGTCTGTGATTGGCTACATCGCTCATCGCTGCAGTCACGTAATAAAAAGAAACTCTGCCATGTAAGTCATTTCTATTTTGTTTTAGTTGTTCTTGTTGCTTTTCTACAACAGCTGATGAATACAAATGTGTTAGTTTTTATTTGTTTTATTCATAGATATTTCTAGTTTGCGGGAGTCCCGCGAATCGTTTTATTCTCCTGCAATCCGCACACACAGAGTGAATGCACTACTGCTCACACTCAGCCATCAAATCTAGTCCCGCGCCACGGTCTCTAGTGCGTTGGGAGTGCATGTCTCTAGATCAAAGAATCTAAGCTTTAATGATCATGTTAACTATGTCTGAATTTTCACCACGTCTGTTTTTGAATCAACTGTTGAAATGTAGATTAGGCTTCTGCCGGTGGTGTGTCTCCCTCCATGCAATTTACTAGTGTTGCCATAGGGACGCTTCGGCTTTTGCCACCCGTAAGAACGTCTATTATTGTTGTGACGTCATGGTGAATTGTCGTATAATCGTATATATCTCTAATCAAACTACAGTAATGGCCGAACGTGGGGAGTTGAACTGACCGTGAACTCATCGACCTGGAGAGCGGACGGGGTATGACGCATCTCCTTTTTATTTAAAGGGGCCGCTTTGAAACCGGTCGCTCAAAGACGCACATCAGAAAAGGGGTAGAAAAGGGGCCTGTGGAGCTATAATGAGGAATTCAGACCCAAGCATTGCAGTTATGTTTTATATAGACCACAACAGTATGATTTATATGTAAAAATGAATGATTTAAAAGCATGATATGTACCCTTTAATGGCATGTTAAAAGTTACCGTTGACTCGCGCTAGCCTAGCACCAGCTAACTATGCAACTGGGACGACTGGATGATTTTTTTTTTTAAACTGTCTAAAATAAATAACACTAAGGCTCACTTGGAAATGAGGCATGATGTCTAAAATTCCAAACCACCCCTTTAATATCTCGTGAGCTTAGAATTATAAGGTTCTATCTCCGTTTAGGGTAGTTCTGAGATATTGAGCATTAAAGTTTTTACATCCCAGCGGGCAAAACTGTTATGTAGTATAATCTTCTATTATAGCTCAACAAGACCATCACCCTACAGGTACTTTGAGAATAAAATATCAAAATCCTGGCACATTTGAAAATGGGATTTTTTAAGGTGACCCAAATGGAGATAGAACCTTTTAAATCTGAGAGCTCTGATTCTGTTTGGAATTATAAGGTTCTATCTCCACTTTTACAAATAAAACCCCACATTTCAAAGAATAAATGTATATAACCATTGATTTTAATCAATTTATATATTTATAATACAAGCACACAGCTTGTAGTATATACTATAATATAATAGTATAGTATCAAAGCCAAGCAAGTTTGTAAGAAAAAAAATTATTTTTATTTTCAAAGAACATGGACATGGAATTATTACACAATACTACAACCCACTCATCTGTACTGTAAATGCATTTAGGAAGCATCTTACATTAAAAAAACATTTAATTTAGTAGATTAACACACAAAATATTGTAACATCTTGAAAGTTATGTTTTCATCCCTTTCCACCGCTCTGAAACATTTAAAAAAAGTTAATTTCATTCAATTCATTTGAATTTAATGTTCATTTAATTAAAAACATTCTAAACACACTTCTAATCAATAATGTATTGTTTGTGTATTGTTATTGTTGTAATTCATTAGATTCTTTTTTAAATCCTCCACTCTGGACATCCCCATTCTCCATCCGTATACCCCCCCCCCCCCCCTAGCCTGGCTGCGCCCTCCTACGCACTTCCGCTCAATTTCATTTGAAATGAAATGAACTAGAGTCTGGTTGAACCAGGCTACCCCCCCCCTCCCCTCCCCCCCTAAAAAAAAAAAAAAAAAAAAACACACACACTGTTACTAAACATCAGTAAAAAAACGTTTTAAAAACACATTGTTCATTTATTTTATAACCTAGTATAAAACTATGAGACACTTTTATTATTTATTTATTATTATTCTGTATGCCTGTTTTGTTATGTAATTTATGTTGTCATGACTCTTTCCAACCTTCTATCTAGATTTTTACTTTCTAAATATTGCCTCGTAGTATGCTTTGTCAACGGCAGGCATGTACTTGAACATGGATAAAAGGTCCGACTTCTTTGCCTCTGCAATTGTGCTTTTTTTGGTGAGCAACTTTGGCTTGGGCAGCAAGAGAGACGTTGGCATGTTAGCCCTAGTTTTGACATTTGAGCCCCTAATATCCACCTGTATAGGAGGCTGAGCATGGGAGGTACTGTACTTCACACTGAACATATTTTGAGAAAATGTTATTTGGGCCACTGAAGCGAATGGTACCTGCTTGTACTGGAAAAGTTTTGAACATGACTGAAAGTCTTTGAAATCTGTGTCTTTCATCTGGATGACAGTGTAAGGATTAGTTCTGTTCGCTCTCAGAAGGACACGCAAGAACGACAGTGGGCTGTAAAACTCTGAGCTTGCCATTGCCTTTTCGATGTTGCTATGCATGTTGTCTACTTCTTGGACTGCAGAGTGGCCAGGCGTAGAATTTTTCATTGTGATCTTTTGGATTTTGGTATTTCTTGACAAGAACTCAATGATTGCAAAAGACATAATGGAATTTCTATTTTGTGGCACACAGCTGTCACTCCATGTGACTATCTCAGTTACCTCAGGATGGTCTTGAACAACTCTTTCAAGGATTTTGACTATGGCACTTGCCATTTCATTCCCTCCTCTACCTGACATGGCCTCCGTCCACACAGCACAATACCCTTTCTTAGTAAGTGAGCTGTGGGCAGTCATATTATATAGATTCATCTTCCTTTTATAAAAGAATGAACTAACCTCAGCTCGTGGACATGTGATGACATTTTCTAAATCAAAACAGACCGTAAGCTGCTGTTTATCATCTCTATCTCTTTGGCGCTCTTGACGCATGACATTTTTTTCATAAACATGTTTATTGTGTTCATGCTCTTGGTGCTGGTTTAACAACCCCTGTTTTTGTGCTGCTTCATGTGCCTCACATTCATCACACCTGTCTGATTTGGGGACATGAAAACCAAGATTAAACTCTGTGTTACATATAAATCTATAGTAAGACATTTTCACTGGCGTTTCATATACACCACATTTGATTTTATAGAGATCATACATCTTGGCCACATTTAGAGTTGGCTCCAGATATTGCTTTTGGGTGCGGGCATGACAGTAGTGTGACTCGACGACAGGGAAAGACCTAATGTGCTCCAGCACCTTCTCTTTTTTGTCGTCATCGATGCGTTTTTTAGGATGCTTTCCTCGTGCATCTGACTTTGGTATGCTATTCTGGCATTTCTTTTGGTGTACATTATACACTGTTTTCTGACTTATTAAAAGAGTACCTAGATAAAAAGGCTTGCATACTCTGACTTTCTGACCCTCTCCTATATCATGAAAATATTTGAATGAGTGTGTACGACGCGAGTCGCCGCCACCACCACGTTGTCTCTCTTTGACATGGCACTCAGTTGTCATCATAATGTCATATTTCCTGTCCTGATTCAGCCTGTAGTACCCTTCAAAACACCTCTCCCTCTCACCATAAGTGATTTTCCTGGCACAGTTAAATTTACATGACACGGTGCAGTCCTTAAATGTTTTTATCTGTTTGGCTGGTTCTTTACCCTCTTGATAAAGCCTTTTTCTGCATACTGACTTCCATGATGATGGAGTGCTAACCCTTTTCCGACTCTTCCCTTGCTCTGGTCTCTGCTGTAACCTTACTTCTGGTGTCTCTGCTGCCCTGGCCCTGGGTGTCTCTGCTACTGTCCCTCTCACTGCTGTTCTGGGTGTCTCTGCTGCTCTGGGTGTCTCTGCTACTGTCCCTCTCACTGCTAATCTGGGTGTCTCTGCTGCTCTGGGTGTCTCTGCTACTCTGGGTGTCTCTGCTACTGTCCCTCTCACTGCTGCTCTGAGTGTCTCTGCCTCTCCTGGCATGGCTACAAAAAGTAATACAGCTGAGCATCATAATATCATTTAGAGGAAAGACATAAATTTTGTAGAATAGTATCATCTATACTAGGACAATCTGCATGTCTTAACTGGTACTGGCTTAACATTAGGGCTGCACAATTAATCAAATTTCTAATCGCGATTACGATAATGGATGCCACGATTACGTAATCGTAATACACGCGCAAATGGGGCAGTGCGTGCTTTATCGCAAAGCGCTTCACTATATTATAAAGCGTGAAAGAAACATGCAACGTCGTAACATTTTAAATAAAAAAAAATGCTTTGTCCAGATTCAGTTGCAGTCAAATGAGATGTTGTCAGTGTCATTATTTTATTGTTATTTTCATAACTTGTTACAAAATAAATGTCTCTCACCTCAGAAAAACAAAATTTAATGTCCTGTCAGTCATACTGTGCCCGTAGGATGCAATCTTTAATCACATGGCAAATGTGCCGATGCATGCTGTATCACTTTACTAAAGTGAAAAAGAATTACGAGCATGCAACGTCGTAAATTTGTAAGTCACGAAATAATAGCAAAATACCAATAAATCACGTTATTGGTACGTCACGTGTTTTGCATGCAGGTATGATGTTCATTCTATTTATCAGGAGCAGTTTCCATGTTTCTTTAACGGTCTAGCCTAATTGTTCTTTCCATAACCCCAAAATACCACTTATTGGTTTTTTTGTATATTTTTAAATGATTGTGGTGGTTCATAACAAGATTGTTATAATCGTGCAGCCCTACTCAACATGGATAAATATTAGACAAAGGGACCCACTGAGGCTCTGTCCAGTACTACACCATAATTTTTCTCACAAAGACTCAACACGATAATCAGTCAAATAGGCCTAGAGATTATTGTACTTCTTAGTGTATGTTTGCCTACATTAGTAGTGTCTAAAAACATCTGTGCAACTCGAGCATTCACTGCCCATCAAACCTGCAATAAAATAACCCCAGCAGTAGCAAAGAGAAGCTAAATATTCTTTATTATTACATGATTCAATATTATAATAGTGTGTCAGTTTATTATTTTGTTTTATGACACTGAGAACATAGTTTGGGTATTGTACAAACAAAGCCACGGTAAAGAGAAATTACACCCATCTATAGAAGTACCAACCACTAGAATCAGCTGTCCTCTTTGCCGCGCCCACCTTTGGAGGACTTTCACCACTATCATCATCTCTGTAAAAAAAAAATATATATATATATATATTATCGCAAACAAGCTGGTTTACATTAGCTAGCTAATGATATGTGCTTCAACTTACCGATCTCTTCTTGTGCTGGCATCTGTACTTTTGCGTTTTTTGGGTGCCATCGCCGGCTTCAAATGCCCGTGAGTCCTCAGCTCTGTGGGGCCGCATATTTTCAAATATGTCGCACCTTCGCCGCATAAATTGCCGATTTCCATGGAAAATATGCAGGGTTTGCATGATTTCATAATCCTTGCATTTTCGTTGCAAAAAAAGTCACATATATCTTAGCAGAAAGTTGCGTTTGCTTCACAAAAGAGCAGCCATTTCCCCCTGTTTCCATCGGAACGTTATGAAGTGATGCAATTACGCGACGGGATAGCTCACACCTGAAGTCCAGACAGACTCACGGAGGCGATTGACATCTCACAACTCGAATTCGTATAACTGTCTGTCACACGTTCTACCGTCACGTCGTTACTTAAACAAAATAAGAAAAAAAGAAGTAGCATCAAACAGAAATAACCCGCACACATGGGGTGTTCGAGGCACACATATAATATAACACTGCAGACAGTTCATTGGGGAACACGCAGCTCTTAAAGGCACTCTATGCAAGATCTGTACCTTAATATAACAGCTTCAAAGTCGTTTCGGTGGTAAACAAAGTCATAGTAGGGCGAATCATCCTGGTAGTAGAGCTTGGGGGGGGATGCCGCTGGAAAAACCAGCCATGCAAGTTTGAGAGTGGCGCCCCTGACACAGCTCGCGAGAATCACGACATTGTTTACAGCAACGACGTCACACACATCAACAACAACATACTGTATGAAGCTACTTGCGCGCATCCAAGAAAACTCAGTCAGAAATGTCCAGAAAAAGGGAAAGAGAATCGGACCGTGCAAGAAACCGGACAAGAGTACACTCGGTCCGGCTTTCACTCGTTGGCGCGAGCTTAAAAGCAGCACTGGATTGTAACTGCGATGCTGACCTGGCGATCTTGTGATGAACTTGTAAGTAAATATCTTTTTGGAAAATTATTTGCGTTCTATGTTGTATGTTGCTGCGCTGGCTTGTGGTATGTCATTTTTTACGGTGCTGTTCATTCATCCGTTGTTGATAATTAGACCAGTTCAATAATTCCCACACGTCTAGCTAGCTTTCGATTACCAGAGCTGTAAGCAAACTTCCTAACAAACAGTCGTTTCTCTTAGTCTTGTTGTTTTTATTCGTTATGTTTTATTGCCGAGCTTGCCACAAGAGCCAGTCAGCTGAACTCAGGTGTTGTGATGTGTATTTATCACGTAACTTTAGTCCTGTGTCTGGTTCAGATTTCTTATGGCGTGCGTAAGTTACTGTTATATAAACTTTACCTGACTAACAGTGCACTTCCCGACTGTAACTTTACTTCAAATTGTTTTGATTATGAATCAATTAAATCTTGACGCTGTTGATGTTGATTCTTGCGATTATCATGAGGACATATTCAATATCTCACATAATTATTAGGACATATATAAGCCTAATTGTACACAATTTGCTATTATGATAAATTGTAATAATCATGTCTAATGAAATCATAACGGCCAATGTTATGAAATAATGCGACGTACATTTAACTTTATTGATGTCATCTGACATTTTGTAATGTTTACATTACAATCAAAAAACATAAATAAAATTACACAGTAGTCCAAACACTATAGGCTATTTACTTCTGATTTTGCAGAAATCAGAAGAAAAACGTTATAAGCCAGCAAACGCGATAGGCAACTTTATTATTAAAAAGCAGTCTAACACTTCTTGACAGTAGTTCAGTAGATATGCAGTAACAGGGGAATACCGGTTATTTACGACAGTGCAAGTACACCACAGAGGCTCTAGAGGTCACTGTTTTACAAATCTGAGATTGCATGGTGTGGCTTTAAGGGGCCACACCTTATTTACACTCGTTACAGTCTGAAATAAAACAAGATGAGAAATTAAATATTCACAGCACTTTCTATGATGTAGTATGCTTGCTTATGAAAGGAAGTAATAAGAAATGACTCTTTACATTAAGATAGTAGCCTAGTGAGAACAAGGTGTTGGGGAATCCCTTTTTTTCTCTTTTTCATCAAACCACAGTTTTTGCAAGTTCTGCAATTTCATCGCATAAAATTGCATAAATATCCCACATATTCCATCGCATTTTTAAAGAAAACGGGCCACGTAATCAAGGATTTTTGCCCGCAACGATGACACAAAAAAATTCTGCGTTTTTCTGGAAGGACTGACACTATTGCACACAGTAGCAACCAGCATAATAAAGTGCACAGTGCACACTATACTTCATTTTAAAAGTAACAAACTATGTACTGCCATGGTTTACATTTTTCTACATAAAATAAAATGAGCATGTCTAGTTTCTAATATCACTGCGATGGTGAGGGAGACACACACGTGTCCAAACCTCAGCCAGGTGGGCGCTGAATAAATCTCCCACAAAAAGCACGGAACAACGTTGGCATTACTTAAAGAGCCCCTATTGAAATGTTCCTATTTTTGTTTTAGGAGTTCCCAAAAACAGTTTAACGTGCATGCAAGGAAAAAAAAACACTTTATTTGTCTTATAATATGCATTTATTTTTAACTGATTTGCTCAACGACTCCCAAATGATTCGTTCGACGATTCATTTTCCCAAACACCACCTTTGAGTGACACGAATCTGCGGCGATTGGTCAAATGACCCAGTTAGTTGTTATTGGTAAACCGTAGGCAGAGACTGTTGGAAACGCAACGCCCATAACCAGGATTATAGCTTGTCAAGTATCGAAAATTATATATAGTGTTTGAACAAATGTGTCAGAAAAAGTGCACTTTCCACACGGCCCCTTACTCACTTCTCCGTCAAGAGCAAGTTTTCCCGGCGAAACTCATATTGCGGGGGCTTTTGAAGGGCAGTGCTTATTATATAGAGCGAAGTCATATTTGGCTAAGTCGTTCAGGAGGTAATTGCCATTTTTCAATGAATGTCTGGTGAATATCAAAAACAAAACTAACTTTACCCTGCTTAGAAGCTGAGCGGAGTGTACACAACACACACAACACAATATAACTATATTGTGCATGCTACAGAAAACATAACAGCAAACATTATTAATATTACTTACAGATTGTGATTCGGAGGAGGATGAACATGATCCATATACACTGGATACTGAGCCCTCCTTCATGAACAAAAGGCTTGCGAATCCATATTTGAATTCATTTAGGTTTTTGAATTTTTAATGATTCATCATTAAAATGATGAGAACACAAGGTTCGGGCGTTGCAAATATGAACTCTGACCACTGATTCTTCACATGCTCGTCCCTGGACAATGGAAACAAGTTGCTGATCTGTCTTTGCAATGTAGAACACAGCGTCTTCTCGACATGATGCGATTCAGCTGAAGTATTTGAATGTGTTCTAGACGTCAATTCAAGTTTACACTTCCGTATGCACACGCAGTTGTTGGGAGCGGCCGATGACCTGTCTACGTCACGATGTAACAGCTAATGACTTGTTTCAAAAACAATTAATTTCATAGACTCAGAGTCAACTCTCACCTTTGAAAGACAATAACTTTATATACGGTGCACTTTCTGATATAAATCTTTGCAGGATGTTTTCATTCCCTTAAAGTTATATTCCACACTACATGAACAGTAATTTTCAAAAATCCATGATAGGTGCTCTTTAAACACAGCATGATATAAAGAAGGCTTAGTTATTCTTCAATGGTGAATGTTATAATGTTTAGATATGTATGTTTGAGGATATCTGCTGAAACGTAGGTACAATAATGTTTCATAGTTTGGAGCGGATTTGGATTGGTTCAGTAAATGTCCTCTGCACACGCTGAGTTTGAGTCACTCACGCTGTGGGTTTGAAAAGCAAAATATGCTGAACATTATAGGCATAGGTTTTCTCCATTTCATAATGAATGGAAACATATTTTTGTCTAGTGTAGTGTTACTGAAGTGTTCCTTTTTAATGATATATAGGCTGAATGCTATTCATCTGTTATTATTTTATGCAGCCCATACATAGGCTATAACAATGCACTACAAACTTGGTGTTCATATATATTTAATAATTGTAACCAGAAAAATAAAAAATGTATTCCCAAAATCGTGCAGGCCTAGGCTATAGTTTCTCTTGATATTAGCATGTTCATGTGTTTATTTTTTACAGGGACCAGATGCCACTGATGAGTACTGCTAACTTTTAACATTAACAGGAGACTCTGTACATGAATATGGTAAAGTGAAAAATCAAACACCTGGGAAATGACAGGTATGTACTATGTTTCAGGAATGGCACAAAGTACGACTGTTCAAGCCCTTGTGTTTAGATTTGTCCTTTGTTATGTATTTTTGGATTATGTTGTGTTGTAAATAAATCAAAACAATCTAAAAGCCATTCTTTTTAAATCTCATTCTTTGTGCAAGGCTCCTTATGGCCCCATAGGCCCTAATAGGGCCATTAGGAGAGGGTCTTTGTCTTTCTCAGGTGTGAAAAGCAGTAATATTAATGGCTGTTTAACGCCTCCCGCATAAAGCTATCTTACCCAAAACACGTCATGCAAATTTTAAAAGACTTTATTGGATTATCTGAATGAGTAATCAGGGAAATTTTCACATAGTTTTGGAGCAAATACTCTAGGCCATGTGATACAATTTTCAAAAGTATTGTCACTGAAATAATCAGTATGGGTTTTATGACCATATTTCAGTGGCAATAATTTTTTTTTTTTCACAAACCACGCATTAACGTCATTATCTCAAAACATTTTACATACATGCTGCTGACATATTATTGCAGCAGAGTTTGTGCTGAATACAGTGTAATACTTTAGCCATGAAAATGTCACAAGTAACAGAAAAAAGCACAAATGTCAGAGCATGTCAGAACACCTCCAGGACCCAGAAAGCACGTCAGGCCCCAGAGGGTTAAATTCAAACAACCTCAATTCACACCTTCATACAAATTTGTTTATTAAAGCTGTAGTTTCACAACCTTGTTTAGAAAAGAAAATCCATGATGAGATCAGATGGTGACGTCATGATTGCCATGGATGGCAACACCCGCTCTTTTAAAGTAACACCCCTTC